GTCCATGCCTTTACCTTGAAACCGATTATTAAGTTGAGTTAAAACTGTTGTATTCGACATAAAAATATAAAATAAACATAGAAATACTTAAACTTTAAAATTCTCTTTTGCTGYGTTAAGTCTTCGATCCCTGACAATTATAAGTACCAATTTTTTTATTGTAGGTACTTTGATTTTGATGCTCCCCTCCCAAATAGTTCAATGAGTCGGGGCCCTGGTGCAATGCTGAATGCACTGCTTGTCTGCTTGCAGTGCTTGCACTGACAGTTTATCCGGTTCAGATCAGTAATCGTAAAAAAAATTCCCTGAAAAGATTTATGTTAATCATAAATTCATAATATAATAAATAAAAATAAAAATATAATATTATTGATTGCATTTTTATAACGACTATATTTTTATCTGGACTTCTTTCCGTAATTCTAATTATAAGTTATTGGTAGGCTGTTCTACCACAGAATAGATTAATGGTTCTACCCGTGGTTCTACTATGGGCACTCAAAAAATATCTATATGATATTATGATTATATTATAATCAGTGTCCATTCTGATTTATTTATTCCGTGTTATTACTACTGATTATAATACTATGATAGTATGATACCAAACTAAACCAGAGCTATTTACTGCTATACCTATAAAAAACACGTCTTATAGTTATAAACTTATAATTAGACGTCTCTACGAGCGCCGAGTAGACAGTACTACAGTAGAGCAGTAGACTCACTAGACTCAGACACTCAGTATGTCATTACTTCAGTAGAGCACTTTAATGTTTAATAGAAACTTGACCAAACATACGTATTACATTGTGATTGTGAATGTCTGATGTTTTTGTATTTTTATATTATTACATTCAATTTCTACAACAAAAACATTATATCATTAAAACAAATTAGATACCTAAGTGACATTTAAAAATCTTAAGACAATTGCCTTGGATTTTTACTTCTAGTCATGAAATATTAATTATTAGCAGCTATGTTGCTATTAATATTATAAATAGTATATTTTTATTATTGTTTTTGTTTATCTACTTTAATTTGAAAGTTTTATAACACTACACTACTACAGTAGGTATACAAAAATATCATGATACAACTGAGAGTCGCCCGGTGACGGATTGATAAAATATATGGCATGAGAACAGCACAATGACTAATAACTACTCGTATTATTTTTAAAATACAAGAATCAATATTAGGATTACCATAGGTATTAAGAATTAATAAATTGGTATGCTTCGATATGCCATTTTAATTTGATAACAAATGTTGTGTGGCTTCTGTAACTGTAGCAGTGAAAAAAGATAGGGGTYTTTGGGGCTTAGCCCCCCATCCAAAACATTAAAGCCCCCTCAAAAAATAAAAGTATTGGAAAAGGAAAGCTTATTATTGTATATCATAGATACAATGATAACTATTTTAAAAATAAGATATTCTGAGGAAAGTCTTCAAGTACCTTAATCAGTAGATAATTTGCTAAAATTGAATATTGAAGATTCATAATTTAATTTTAGTATTTTGAATATAGAAAGGGACATTCCTATGAATAAAAATTTAAAAAATGTGTGGGCTTGAGCCCCCCTCCCCCAAAAAAATTCCTATTTGCACCACTGATTTTTAGTAAATTAGTTAAAATTGGCTAAAACAATAATATATAAAATAAGTTAATCAATTCTTTCCATACATTTTTACTCAGAGCAATTGGTTATACTTATTATGTATATTGTATGTATCATCTGTTGTTGATTAATAATCAACAACAGATGAAGTTACTAGCTTCCTATTATCTACAAATTATTAGTTTTAAATGTATTTGTTATTATTTATAGATGTGCTATTTGGGTTGAGAACTGTGATTCAAAATATTTGCCAAATGTTGATATTGAAAACCTGAAAAAACGTTTTAAATTATGTGCATTGCATTTTGAAGATCGAATGTTCAATTTCCAAAAGAATAGACTCTTATCCAATGCAGTACCAACTATATTTAAAAGTTAGTTTGTTAGTTAAATTGTATGACTACATAATTCTTAATAATTAATTATGTATCCTGTGCTTTTAGATAAACCTCCAGTAATAAAAACAGTCACACCTCAAAAAGTTTATGAAACTATTACAATAGATGATGACGACGTCTCACCTGCTATCCCAGTACATGTACAAACGTCTTGTTCAAAATATGGTGTGTTAAATAAATTATAATTTATTAGTTAAGCAAATTAATATGACTAATTATAATAATTTAAAATATAATTTGTTTTAGATCAGGCGAACATTACCAAAAACTTGTTTGATGTGCCAACATCTACTGGAATTGTAAAAAATTCAGTAAGTCTTCAAACCCCAAATTACTTATCAGCCAATTCGCCAAGGAAACTTAAGCTTAAGAAACAACTAGCTGAAGAAGTAAGTTTGAAGAAGCAGTTAGTAAAAACTGTCAATGAATTGAAAAGACAATTAGAGCAAACAAACTCTGAAGATAATTGTCTCAAGTTGTGTGAAATGTATTTGCCCTCAACAATGTATATGTTGGTAAAAAATTATTTGACAAATAAAAATAAAACACCAAATGGCCAACGACATCTCAATGAAATTATACAATTTGCACATACAGTTCATCATCTTGGACCTAAAGCTTATTATTTTCTTCAAAAACATTTTACTCTTCCTCATATGCGTACTTTAAGGAAAAAAAACATTCAAAATGTTGACAAAAATATTCAAAACATTGTTCAAAATGACCATAGGTACAGTAAAATTTAATAGTACCTATTAAAAACTAATATTTTTAAATTGTAATCTAAGACTGATTTGGGGTCAAAAAACATAATTTATGTAATGAACTCTTTTAATTAAATATGTTTCATACCAATATTATAATATTTTTGTGTAAAATTTGTTTGATTTTTAAATGAAAATAAATGTTATTTTGTTCTTGAATTGAATAAGGTAAAATAGTAAGTTCATATAACTAATATTTTATCAAATAAAGTAATATATATTTTTTAATTCAGTGAGGCATTTATCTTTTAATATACACATATGCTCTGCCGCCCTAACCCAGAAAAAGGTATTTCCAAATATTGAAATGTTGGGAAAATGACATAACAAGATTTGGAATCTAATGAACTCGTACGCTGTTTCCTAAACCTTTGTTGACAATTTTTTTTTTCAATTTACTTATTATTATCCGTAGAATTTACTGGTGATATTTTTAATTGTCTAATTATCTAAGTAAGTATAAGATAATGGGCTTACCCTTAAATTTCTAATAAGAATAAGAAGTTAAAAAACAGTAAATCCAATATACTGGAGTTACTGTGTTTTACTTTAAAAATTAAATATTTATTCAAGATTTTAAATACAGTAATTCCAATCAGTATTCAACAAATTATAATTTATGCATTGAATAATACCAAATATTTTGAAAACCACATGAAAAACTTTAATATACAAATATAAAATTTAAAATAAAAAACAAAATTTCTTAAAATGTGTCTTTCTTGACAAATTTATATAAATTAGTGTTAATAAATATTTTAAAAATAATAACCTTATATTTAATCAATACTTAGACCTATTTGTCAATAGACAAAACTTRACAAAAATAAATAAATATAAAGCAGTTTCCATCTTAATATAGGTCATTGGCTGTTACTGAAGTTTTGATTCTCATATTTTTCACTTCTAGAACTATAATAAGAATTATCATGATCGATGACACTATTCTGCGAAAAAAAAACAATTTTTATACATAATTAAAAATATTAAATGCATGGAAAATCTAAAATTAAGAAAGGTTAGTTAATTACTTCATCTCTTTGAGAATATGAAGCATTAATTACTTCATCTCTTTGAGAATATGAAGCAGGTAATAATACATCATTTTGGTTATTTTCTTCTACTTCAAATAATATATTTTGCTTCTCTTGTTCTACTTCAAATTCTACATTATTTTGGCCAACTTTAGAGTTGTTTTGAAATAAATTTTGTAAACAATATAGGTCTAATGCCATAACCTTATGATTTGCATATGAATAGTGTACTACACTCTACAACTTATAGTTGTTTGAGCTGTTTTGGTTWGGTCCAGAACTTGTTGATGGCTGGTTAACATTTTCTAAATYGTTAACACATATTATTTAATTATTAATTAGTTATATCTTAATAATTCACTTATATTTTATTATGTTATGTACCTGACTCGTCATTCGGAACAGAATTTAATATCATGTCTTCAATTGTATTGGCAGGTCCAGAACTTGTTGATGGCTGGTTAACATTTTCTAAATCGTTAACACATATTTGATTAATATTATGATTTAATTTTTAATTTTTTAATTTTAGATTTTATTTCACCTTCATCATCATCATTGTCAGATACAGAACTTATCTCCTTAATAATAAATTCTTTTTTGCTCCATATACTAATTATTTGTTCTAACTGATTCATTCTTCTTTCATAATTAAATTGCGATGATATTGAAAGAAGTTCAGCCAATTTAGATATTTTAACAGATGCTTTTCAAAACTTTTCGTTGGCTGATAATAGTCTTGTGTTTTTAGTTTTTGTCTGAACTTCAATAGGAACATCATTTACAGCATCACATAGCTTCAGCGGTTCTTTAAATATTACCTGGGATTTATAATAATAATTCTTTGTCCATCTTTTATCGCAGATATCTTCATCGTACAAGGAAAGATTTGTTGCTCTTCTTTTATTAAAAATATGTTAGCATGGCAACTTCATTGAATTATAAAAAGCACAAGAGCAAGAAATTAGGGAAGTACTTTCTAAAATCTTAGTTTTGTTAGAACATGACAGACCTTTTTTTTAATAATTAGGTATATGCATAAGGTGTTAAAAGCATGCTATATTTATATTCATCGCTATTTTCAATTTTTTTAGTTGGTAGTTTTTGTACTAAACTAATTGTTTTACTGTACCTTTCTGACCGAACACACTTAATTACTACAAATAACTGTTTAAAAAATTTGGAAAGATTTGAAAAATATGGTATAACCGATTTTAATTTGGAATTAAAACTTTTGAGCCTATTATTTGTGGTATTTAAGAAGTTACCACTTTGAAATTTTAAGCCAGTAACCCTTTCTTCGCGGTTATCAAKCCAATTCTTTGCAAAGTACATTTTGACTTGATGAGGGGCCTGATTTAAAAAAATGGTCTGTATCTCCTGGTATTCTTTTTCATTTTTGCAGAAGCATTACTGTTCTATCAGCTTTTTACTACTATCTCGTTCATCTGGCGTTATACCTAATTTTTCACAGGTGATTTCTCTGTTAAATGTTCGTAGAGTGTGGAATAGGCATATCGCAAGACGAGACGTTGGGAACAATGATTTAATGACAGAACGCTCTTTCATGTCTTTATCTGTAACAAATACTCTCGTATTTGAACAGGCTGGATTGCATTCTTTAAACTTATTAAAGAGCCAATGTAATGTGTCTCTCTGTTCATTCACTAGCAATCCAAGAGTAGCTATCTCACTTTGGCCATTACCATCCTCAATCAATAACACCTACAGCGGAATT